CCCCCCCCCCCCCCCCCCCCCCCCCCCCCCCCCCCCCCCCCCCCCCCTCCCTCTAAATATATGTGGGTGGAGCACGTGAGTTTTGCCCGATTAATCCAGGTAATTTTAAATAGTTCACACATATCATCCCCGATGGTAAATAATCATTTGGATTTTAATTTCCATCAAACGTTTTACACACTATGGTTAGCTGTGGTGTTAGCGATTTGAAGCCGCCGGTTGGCAAACGTGGCGAGCCGGTAACGAATTGCAGGAATAATCGTTGGTATTCGCGAGTATACGATGAGAGTATATCGTATAAATGTTGTATAGCTTGGGAATCTTGTGTAAAATCGTAATCGGTGCGGCAACAATCTTGCAGCATTTTAACGTTGATAGTTGCTAGCCCCAGAACCGCAAAACACATTCTCCAACTCTTCGGGATAGAACACTGAGTCAAAACCTTCACGCAATGCCTCAAATTTTTTCTGGACGCCTTCGATGAGGAACCAATATGTCACCAATGAGATATATTGATGTAAATTGTGTATTGTTACTGGCGTATCACGTCCACCTCAACACAGTTCAATGTTAGCATAGCCGGGGGTATTTAACACGGTGCTTAAGGAGGCTAAGCACAATGAGTTTATCAAATTTGGTTGAGATCGGTCAAGTAGTTTTTAAGATACACATAAATGATATAAATAAATAGGCGATGCCACGCCCATTTTCCTAAATTTTTATCAAAAATAAGTTTTTTGCTTAAGAGCCATTATAAATATAAATTTTGAGTAAACATATAAGGCCGTATTTTTGCTTAAACTGCTTAACTGCGACAATTTTTTTGCAATTGTATTAGGTGAGGTATCAATTTATTCGAAAATAAATGTTCTTTTAACGCGATGTAAACATGAATTTTTTTATTTGATTACCGTTTAAACATGTTCGTATTTAAATCAAGTGAAAAGTGTTCAAAATTTAATGTTTCCATTATAGATACACTACGTATAATGGAAATATTCCATTGAAATACGCCCGTATTAAAATGAAGCATTTTTCACTGCACGGATGGCGTTTTGCACGTGTCGGATGCTTTTTCATATGTAATTAAGAAAGTATATCATCGTTTATAGTACAAAACCGCGTATCGTCATTCAATCACGTAACTGACATTTGCTGCCAAAATTAGATTTGCTCACACTAGCTCTTGGCGCAATCCTTATCCATTCGTCCTGAAATATACTGGCCAGATATGGCGATTGCTTTATAAAAAAAATGCGTGTGTAACACCGTACACATGATAGAAGTGAAACTTCTTAAAAAAGGTGTGAGTACCAGGTACCTACTCACGAAATTCGATGTGTAAACATATGTTTACGGTTCGGAAAACCGTTAGGCGATTGAGTTACATACATAGGTTTGGTTAGAAATCAAATAATAATTTCATGTCATCTTATTAATTTTCTGATATACATATAATTTACTTATTCATTTTCCCGTAACACCACCTTATATGAATTCGCGCTTCTAACATCCATGGGACCGGGTTGTCATGGAAGTAATTGTATGTTTAACAAATAAATGAAAATGTTTATAATGCAATCAATAGATCCTTACGAATTCGTCATTACCAAGGCTCTAAGTAACGTACGCACTTTTGTTTGCAAAATGCATTTATTTAAGTTGAAAGATTTCTATCTTCTAAGGCGAATTCATATATTCTTATCACGAACTCATATATTCATGTGGTAGCAAGAGTATAAAAACATAAAATTACTTTATAAATTAAAAGCATAAGTATCACATGTATGCGTAGTCCAATTTACGAAATCATTTCATCGTTCTGAGTAAAAACTAAGTGCATAAACTCTATTTGGCGTTAATTGTAATCATGAAATGGTGTTCATTCATTCAGTTTCTACTCAAACGCATGAAATGATTTCATGAATTGGTCTACGCATAATGGTAGTAAATGACAGAATGAATTACAACAAACACATCCTTTTGACATAATGCAAGCCGAAAACGTTGGTTCAAATCAATCCGCAACCAAGTTGGAGGTTTTTCCCACAAACATTGCAATTTTGCGAGCAGTCTCATTAGGGCTATTCGCGATCCGGTGCAAATGGCCTAGCATCATTGCATTGCAAATTTGTATTGCAAATTATTTGCAATACACAAACAAAATACACGCATTTGCACTTGTCATGGCTTGACAAATTTGCAATACCGAAAATCCATAGCATAAAAATGCTATGCATTGCAACTCTGGTTGACATTTCTCTCAGCTGATTAAAAAAGTTTTACCATGCCAGTGTAATAAAGTTCGCTCACAATCCATGGCATATTTCTGCAATTGCATTAATTTGTCAGCTCTTATGCACCGAATCGCGAATAGCCCTATTGTAAAATCTCATTTTTACAGTTTCATAGTTTCGGCTTACATTTATAAAATTCAACGAAAGCACGTACCTATTTCGGCTGAGTTAACCATCTTCGGTTATTTAGTGTACAAAATAAATGCAAATTAAATGAGTTTGTACAACATGGCCATTAATGTAGCGATAAGTTGTACAACTTGCCAGAAAATACAATTTTTTTTATCATTCATACAACCAAGACATAAATTCATTCCCACAACGGTGCAATCTAGAGCAAAGTTGAACCAAGTTTATTTAAGAAACATCGGGCGAAAATTTTAACTGCTCCTGTAACACTACCTGATTTATATAAGTTGGCCTTGTTATCATCTTCACATATGTTCATTAGAGTATACCAACAAAGGACGAGTTAATACAAGGAGATAGCGGACACAAAACTACAAGTTGAACCAAGTTTCTTTAAGAAACATCGGGCGAAAATTTTAACTGCTCCTGTAACACTACCTTATTTATATAAGTTGGCCTTGTTATCATCTTCACATATGTTCATTAGAGTATACCAACGAAGGACGAGTTAATACAAGGAGATAGCGGACACAAAACTACTCTTGAAAATTACACGCACAATGACAAGCATGAACAAATGTACAACAAACACATAATTTTTGACAATCAGTACAGTTCGCATTTACATCAACGAGCAGCTTATTAGATTTGTTTTCGTTTGTACTACATATGTGCATATATACATGTACACAAACATATGTACATACCACGGAGGAGAGAATACAGAAGGTGGCGCCAATGGCAACACCGCTAATCGGCTCTCAGTGAATTTGACAGAATCAGCTGTTTTGCTGACGTTACAGTCGAGATGACAGCAGTAGTGATGTGCTGAGTCAATAATTTTAAGTATTGATCGATATTCGGTACCGATTTAAAGTAACCAATGCTCCCGATACTCGGTACCGAAACATTTAGGTTTCGAATAAAAGCGCACATAGGCAAAAAAATATGGAAAAAACGGTTCAGGGGAGACTCGCCTATCAAAACCCGAATGTATGAGCCAATAGAGTTTTTAATATTGATCCAAATGAAAGATGTATATATGTCGGTTCGAGGTCAGAGAAACTCTTACTTATTTGAAGCATTTTTGTTCCAGCTGAAACGGACGATATCATTTTTGTATGCCTGGGGGCAGATTCTGTAACCAGTTAACGACAATTTTCGAATCGGTATAGGTTTTGTTGACGTATGATATGAAATATTTTTACGTCAACAAGTGCGATATCGATTCGAAACTTGTTGCTAACTGGTTACAGAATCTCCCCCCTGAAAGGCTTCTTCATCCTTCATCGCATTTTTCTTGAACCTTGGATCGGCTAAGGTTAAAACTGATAAAATAATATTTATCTGTTGCGATAAGTTCAAGTGTTTTAGCTGCTTCATATAAAATAGTAATGAAAGTTTCTTCTAAACTTGAAATGCATATAAGGGAGAAGGATTAATGTAAAGAATCGGTATCGGGTGCCGAAAAGGAAATTTTGGGTACTAACAATTCAGCACATCTTTAGAGAGCAGTTTTATTTCACGATTGGGAGAATACAATGTACAATGTATACAATACATACCATGATAAAAACACAGCAAGGTATAACCGTTCTCTCAATTTGTCGGCCATGATTTTTTTTTGAAGTTTGCCAACATTTTAAAATCATATAAAAGTGAAAATAAAAAATTTAAATTGTTCGAAATTGTTGTTGCTTGAGATTGAAAATGAAATTGTGTGTGTGAGTTTGTGAGTAAATTTAAAAATTAAATTGTTTGGAAACGTCAAGAATTTTAAAAGTGCCTCTCAGCGGTTCTACCTTACTATATTTTTATCATGATACATACAATACAATATATACAATGTATACAATGTATTCTATCATTCTTGGTTTTATTTGCCGCTCTCAGTTGTCAACTCTACGATGACGTCACGCCAAAATAACTCTCACGAATCCTGCTGCAGTCGGCGCAATCTTTTATTCTATCATTCTTGTGTACATCACAGTGAACGGCAGTGCGCGCGAGTGACGAAAGCAGCCACAGTAGCATGCTGAAATGACTCGCTTATATATACACGAGATTTGGAAGTTTTTATCCACACGTCCAATCGACATATTTGAGACATCGTTGGAAAGGTCTTGCAGAGTGAGTCCAGAAAATGTATTCAAGCTTCATAAACGAAT